GGTACGAGAACATACCAGTGTTAAACGTGTAACGTGGATGTAAGTGCTACTATCTGTGCATTTAATTACAAAAATTTGTACTAAACTTGTAATAAAATGAATAGGTAAAACTATTAAAATGAACTAGTGAAGTGAAAAATTAATGCGTGAATGAATATCATTTCGTGTTGAATTACATTTTCATGTTCATTTGTGAATAAAACCTTGTTATCATCATTTCAATACGCATACATAATATGTGTGCATATAATACAGGGTGATTTTCTATAATTTTTTTTTTTTTTTTAGAAAATTTAACACAAATTTTACATGTTAAATAATTAATATTATTTTTGTAAATTTAAATCGTTGTCTGACGGTCAAAGTTTCGAATTGGATAGTTGGATAAACAAGAGTTTTTACATATTTGCAAAGGCGATAATCTGGGTGTATTAAATTGTAGGGTAACGGTGGGCAATTATTATATTTAAAATGTGAAAACACATGGTTAATCTGTAGTAATTGTTTGAATATTAAACAGGCGCCAGTCACTTTTTGGTGAAAGAGAATTTGAATTAATTTCCATTAATTCAATATGTAATGAATCACATAAAGCACGAAGAATCAAGCAGAAAAACAAAAATCAAAAATTATCTAACATTTTTAATAGTACATGAATGAATGATTTTTTTAAAAAAAAAGAGAGAATTGAAAAAGAGAGTAAAATCAATTAAACTCTTTAATTTTTTCATGGTTAAATAACATTAATTTCTAGAGTTTGTGTTGTGCCATTGACCGAATAACCTCGTTCTGCACTCGAAAAGAATTCTCTTAAAGTGTAATCGATAAACGCAGCGAAAAAAAAAGTGTGTATGTGATGTGAAAAAAAAAGGATTTTAAATTTTTAATTTTTTTCCAATATTCTTTTAATTAAAGTATTTTTTTTTTTTAAAGAATTGTAAATAATTGAATAGAATTTTATAGTTGGATCAAGTAGGGTAATTGAAAAATACGAAATCATTTTTATTTACAAAAATTTTTTAGCAAAACATCGTTTTAATTTTACTTTTACAAATATATTTAAAATTATACAAACATATAAATTATGTGCTTGTGTATGTATCTGAGTAATAACATTTGTTAGTATAGGTTTATAAATTTTTTTTTTGAACTTTTTATTTCTCATATTCCTGAATACAGTTTCAATATTCTATCATTATTATTACTATGTACACAAAATCAAGAGTACTTGTAAAAAAAAACAAGAAAAAAAAAAAAAAAAACAGAAAAATTAATTTCTTTTAACAATTTTGTAAAAACTTTGAACGAGAAATGTTATCCATGCCCTACAAAAATAAAATGGACTAAGAGAATGTCACAATATTTTTGAAATAATTCAAAATAATTCAAAATTTATGACACAGCATATCCACTTGCAATCCGTACAACATATCCCCACTTTTTGGGTTGAAATGGAATATATAGGAAGCATCAAGCTATTACTGAACTACCGCAAATTTATTGGTTCGATTTAAGAAACTGCAAGTACTCGTAATGCAATAGATGTTGCATGGACTACGAAGACATTATAGACTTCGTCGTTGAAAAAATTCATAGTTTTGTACTTTTGGAGTTGGAAAAGACTATCGCAGAATACATCCAACATATAACTTCCTGAAAATCCCGAATTTGCCGCACGGAAGCCACTAAGAAATTAGTAATTATTAAATATTTTCTAGTTTTAAAATCAAAAATGACTGCAACCTCTTGGGCTGTATACAGGAGAACACTAAAATAAACATTGTTTTTTTTTTCGTAGTAAAACTGTAATAGTCGTAAAGATTGAAGGTAACAATAGGAGAAAAAAAAAATAATCTCAAACACGATCAAATCGAACATAACCTGAATAATATTATATCAATAATAATTTTTTTATTATTATTTAAATTTGAAAACGTATTGTGGCATTTCAATTATAGTTTATAATGTTGCAAAAAAAAATAAGAAGTAAAATAAAAAAAAAATTTCAAGTTAATGATTAAGTGTTATGAAATGTTGTTTACTAACAGTGTTATGCGGTACTCAGACAGATTTGCAAATTGAATAATTGTGAGGCTTCCAAAAGGTTCCATTGTGAGGTTTTTTGTACTCTATATGATTATGAACCAAATTTTAGATTTCAACCCATAATTTATTGCAGCTCCTTAATTTGTTTTTCTAAATTTATGTGTGTCACGGTTCTTGATTTTAACAAACTCTTATAACGATCTGCGAAATTGGATCTTTGGCAAGGTTCTCAATTCTTTTTTTAGGAGTTTTATTGCCTCTTAGTTTCAGTTTTCTGCCATTAATACAGCAATTTGTTCAATATTTTATAAGCTCTATTTTATTTTTATTGCTCTATAAGTGTACCATTATTTGCTTTTTTATTGCTCTATAACTGTACCATCTCCCTATATTTTATTCCAATTAACACACATATCGAAGCTTGTGTAAACTGTAACAGTGTCTTCTAGGCCAATTTTTTTTTGTGTGTAGTAGTTACGGCTTAGTTTCTAATAATATGAGAACTAGAGGAATTTTGTTATTTTAAATTATTTTTTTGGACCATAGACTTATTATACCATAGAATTATTATGCCTTCCAAGTTAATTATATTGAATTTTTAAGTTCTCATCCTATAATAGAGTTACTATTGTTTGTAATCAAAGTTTATATAGTAATAAAAAAACTCTATTTTTTTTTGCTAGAACTATCCATAGTTCAATTTATTTTCCTAGTTCTTTTTCTTCTTCTTTTTTATTCTTGCGTTTTTTTTTTTCTTTATTAAACTTATCAACAGTTTGAAGTGAACGGATTGTTTAAGATACGATATAGTTCACATTAAGACCATTCCATTCCTTTCAGATCAAACATTAATCATTCAAAGGTAAATTTTGTAGTAGATGGTTTTGTTGAAGTTTTATTATTCTAAATATGTGTTATATGTATGTGTATATATGCCAGTATATTCTTACATTTTCTCGTATCGTTTTACTATAATATACCTTTATAGATAGCAGGTTTTATTTTTTACTCTTTTAATAATTTCTATAAAAAATTTCACGTTACTCATGTTAAAAATTTTATGTGGTTAAGGTTAGAAAGAACGGTGAAAACATATTCTTGATTTTCTTTTATAACAAAAAAATAAAAAAGAAGTAGATATAAAACGGAAGGAAATAAATTTTATTGCATATTAATATATGAAAAGGATATATGAGCATAATATACGATATATATATCTACAATATTTTTATTACAGGGAGAAGAGAAAATCAAAAAGAAAATAAAATTAAAAGAACATGATTTCTATAAATTTTTTTTTTTCTTTTTTGAATATTTTCAAGTGAAGATTAAATTGCAGCATCAATTTATGCAACATCACTATATTAAAATGTATACAATATGAGCAATTAAGTACACTGGATTCATGCACTTAAAATGCACATAATAAAAAGCATAAAATAGTATAGCAGGTATAGTATAGCAAGAGTGTTAAATGTATTAAAGTATGTAGTCAAAGTCAAAGTTGAATATTTAATGTTCATTTTTCATCGTGTTCCACTGAGTGATTATTTTTAACAGAAGCTATTATATACAAAAATATTGTTAAATGTTATAAGAAGTGATAAAATTTTTGAAAAAGTAGAAAATTTTTATATGAAAATCATAGAAATTTTTAATAGCTGTAAGGATTTTATTAATTTTAAAAAATATTTTGCTTGCGAAACCGATTTTAGCAAATATATTAAAGTTTTGATAAGAAACAAAAAAAAAATCTAAATGGCCCCCGAGCAGGGGTATTGAATTAATTATTATTTTTTATTTATTGAACAATGAAATGCTTATTGAAATAAGGATAGAATAATTGCTATTTTTAGTTTTCTTATTAGAAATATGATGAGAAGTTGAATTTGAGCTACATAATATTATTGATTTACAGGGATTTAGAAGTCGAGTTTCATTTATCATCTATAATATCGGGTATTAGTAATAACAAATAATATTTAAAATATTAAATTCATAATATTCCAAAAATCTTCTATGTGAGAGATTGAATTTTTAATTTTTGGGAAAATAGTAGCCACACATTCCCAGAAGTATAAACGTTAACAAAATTATTAAAATTACAAAAAATTTTCATTAAAAGAAAATTTGTGGCTTCTTTATCGTCATTAAACAACATTATTCCAGAATCATTTCCAGAATATTAGAAGACCATTTAATACACGTCATATTGTTAAAATCCACAAACTTATTTTCTACATTATTTTAGTACAACATTACTAACTGCAATTACACATAACGTATATATACATTAAAATTCTCTATTTTTTAAAAAAACTCCAAGGGAATTTCGTGGTGAAATTAAGGTGGTTAAAATTTTGTTCTCATTTTATTTTTCCTTTTAATAAACGAATGTTTTAGACATTGGTGATTGGTTATACTTTGTATTTTTAGTAAGCACAATGCTTTTGTTAGAAATTAGATTTGATTTTTTTGAAAGTTTGAGTCCAATTTATTGACCCAACAATTTCCTTTATCCTAGATTGAAGAGTCTATTTAAATTTAATGATAAATTTGTGAATAAACGCTTGTATCTTGGAACTCGTTGCATCATATCTCATATCTTTTATATAATATTTAGACTTTATGAGGGTAGAATTTGGAATCACTTGGATCTTATTAATGAAGACAACAAAAATATACCAGTTTTTTAATTTGAACTTATACAATATTATTGTGATTTTATTTAAATTATTATTAATTCATTGAATTGTAATATAATAATTAATCTCAGACATTCATGATTTTATAATGCCCACCAACACCTGATGCAATATAGTTTCACATAAGTTCTGATTTAGATGTGATCAAGAAAAATACATGATTATAAGCTATATAGTAATAGGAACCTTATTAAAACAAAATTTTATATAAAAATCTTCATTTTTGAATTGCTGTTTCTAGATATTTGTTTATGGAAATGAAAAATTTGGATTACTATCTGCTGCACATTTAGCTGCATAAAATGTTTTATCACAAGGATTTTTGTAATTATCTTCTGCAATTTACATTAATTGTTAAATTGAATTCAACCTCACATATACATACGCTAAATATTATATTAATACTTACGAACATGAATGCAACGTTTAAGTGTTTCTCTTGATATTTCACGAATTTCTTCTGGTAGTAGCATATCAATTTGTGCCATAGATTTTTGCATACTTATTTCACCTTTTTTATTTAACTATATAAAAATAATAAGATAATTAAAATTGTGGTTAGTTATTGAAATTAATAATTGAAATGAAATTATTAGGAGACGCGATTGAGAATAATCGTAGCAGATTGGTGATTAAAGAATTTATGATCGATTTTTAAGGAACACATTGTAAAGTTTTTATATTTCAGCAGTAAATGCCTCTCGTGATTAAAATTTTTAAATAAGCAAATTATGCATTAAGTTGTGTTGCAATATGTAGGAGTAGGTTAGGTTAGATAAGGTTGTCTCGGCCTTCTGAAGGTACACATAGGCCAACTACGCCCTTTGGGGTACAACGGAATCTCTACCTTTCCGCTGCATTCAAACCAGCCTAAGCTCCTCAAAGATCGGTTCTAATTCCTAACGCTTACATTCGCTAAGTTCGTAGCGTGCCCGAAGAAGTAACACCTAAGGAATCTCTACCACGAGTTCGCCAGCGCCTGATATGAGCATAGAAGGTGGGTTACTGTTTCCTCCTCCACTTCTTAACAGCAGCTCCTATAATGAATGTTTGCGGCGCGACCCACTTTCCTTGTATGATATGTAAGAGTAATTAAAATGTTAATCGCATTTGTACTACATTATTATACTATTGCAATTTTCAGTTTTTAAATGAAAAATTAATTATTCAAATATTTACTTACAGTTCCAGCCATTTGAGCAACACATTTTGTATAACACTACAAAATAAGATTTTTAAATATTTTCAAATGATTTCGAATAAAATAAAATTATTATTGATTTACTTTGATATCTTTACTTTCATCATTAAATTTTCCATTCCGTAAATCGGTCAGTTGTTCTTTTGTAATTTTGAATTGTGGTGAACAGGCATCTCTAATTGAATTAATTGACATTTCAAATTCTTTCATAGAAATCTACATCAATAATTAAAATTAAACACTAAATTAAATATTTTCTTTGCAATTATACTTTTAAAATGTTTTACACTAAAAATTTGTCCTGTCACTGTCATCAAAATTAGACATTTTTGAAATGTCATTAAATCTGTTAATTTCATAATTTTAAAAACATTTCAAATTTATTAAAAGAAAAAAAATTTGTAGTAGCAAATTTAAAAAACTTCATCACAGTTTAAAAATAAATATTGAAATAATTTTTAAAAATTTTTAATTCTTTTTATATACTCTGTCGGTCGGGGGTCGTAATAAAATATTTAAAGTTTTTAATTATAGCTGTAGTCAGAGTACCTATTTTGATTAGAATTTGTCAATAATAATTAAAAATATTGCAAAAATAATTAAGTTTTTTTTTTCAGTATAAAGTTGTAATTAAAATATTGTCAGGGTTGTCATTTTTAATTGTTATAACAGTGAATGCTTTTATGATTATGAAAATTAATTAATTATTAGGTTTAATAAATTATTGTGAAAATTGTGCATTAAGAATAATAACATACCAAAAATTACGCAAGTATGAACATAACATGACCCCTTGGTTCTCATTAAGTAAGTAGACATAATTTTCACTGATATTTGTAAGTTTTTTGATAGGATTCCTCATAAGGTATTGACAGTTTAAGATGAGCTTGACCGTATTTGCCTAATAGAGAGTACCACGTGTGTTTTCAATCGTCTTTGCCGGAAGTTTTCTTAGCTATTTCTGGGTGTCCAATGTTTTGTACCGGATTCTGTAGCGGTTGAACTGAGCAGTTTCGCAGATCACACAATACGATACTACATGATAGTGGGACGATTTTTTCTGAGAGTGATTTTTTTTCGTTACAGAACGACTTGAACCATTTTAATTTGTGGTGTCGCAGTAATGGTTTAGATCAGAACGTTGACATGTGTTATGTATTAAGTTACTTTTGCAAAAGCGGGTCTTCTATGATTAAATTTGTCTATCTCGTTTGGATCGAAGAATGGTGAAACGGGTTAATTTTGTAAGTGATCTTGAGATCATACTCATAAATTCGTACAGGTTAAGGTCGGTGAAGCCTTTCGATTTTCGTCATAACAGTACGGATTATGGTAAAAAGAGCCCAATGATTAAAATGTCGCGTGCCGCCAATTCTAACTCTATTATTTCTATCTTGGTATTGGAAAGGGTACTTTCTTTTTAATTTGAGTTCTATACTTTCTGGGAATTTGAATTATGTTTAGTTTTTGGTTAGTAATTAGAAGTATTAGAATTTTTCTATATGTTTTTGTTTACCTTGGTTATACACATCGCTATAGCTCACAAATGCAAATAAAAGGCCGGTACTCTTTTGAATTTAATTAGAATCTTAGACAAAAGAAAACAATATTAAGGCGGAATCGACTGTATGCCGTTTCATAAGTCTTTTACAAAGATCCGGGGTTTAAAATAAAGTAATTATTTAATAACTTAATAATGGTTGCTTTATTTGCAATTTCAATTTGACATATAACATTGTATAATAAATTTTATTGTGTGGTTAAATATCATGGTGTGATTATTTCATTGTAATGTTCTTTGTTTTGTTCAGTGCTATTTAAATTAAGAACTAGTATTCAATTAATTAAAATATTTATATTCACATTTTCAAAGAAAATATAAATATATTGCAATGTTAAGTAATGTTAAAAATTGAGTGCATTAATTAACAAAAAATGTTGTTAAAAACATGAGTGTTGCCGTGCATCTATCACATCCTGTGTCAGTGTTGCAGTTATTTTTTTTTTGATTCAATTTTTAATTTGTTTTAACATTAAAAATGATGAGTATGAAAAGTTCATTACCTAAAAGAATAAGCTATTAAAAAAAATATATTGCCTAAGATGTGCTTACATAATATTACGTAACACCTTAGGGTGATAGAAAAAAAGTGTTACGTAAAATGTGACTAGACTTTTAATTAAAATAAACGCACTTTTGCAAAACTATTTAAAGTAACCGGAATCCATCCAGCATTAATATCAAATGTTTTCTGTGATCTTTGCATAAATATTATTAAACTTTTACGAAATTTTTTATCTTTATTTATCCAACTGCAAGAAAATAAAGCATTTGTAAGTTTTTCACTCTCGTGCTTTAGTAAATCGGCAAAAAATGATGCCAAAAATATTTGTGGAACTAAGGCGGCACAAATGAGTAACAAACTTATTAATTCACTTTTAGAATTTTTGATTGCAAAAAATTGTAAAGCTAAAAATGCTAAAGAAGCTGCTGTTATTAAGTACTGTGGAAACATTTGTAAACCAACAAGCTTTTTGATAATAAAATAAGCTCTGAAATACAAAACCAAAAATATTCATTTTAGTAATTTAGAAATCATTAAATAAATTTATTGTTTTACCTCTGTAAAATCCTATGAAATTTAACACATTTAATCAATTCCAAATATGAAGTTTTCGCCTCTGAATTCTCTGAAATTTTATCAATTTTCATGAGGAGAATATGAAAATATCCTTTGAGAATGTAAAGATAAATTGGTACAAACGATTCTTCCAAAACAAAAATAAATCCATATAAAATTACACTAAAATGATTATGAAAGTATGCCAAATATTTCCAGAAGCCGAAATTCATCCATGACGGATACCATACATTCATGACCATTTTAGAAGAATTATCACGATAAAAACAAATAATTTCCTTAGATGTAACATTTATTGTTAATAAGAATACCAAAGTTTTAAAAATTCGATCACAAATTTTAAAAACTTTATTTTGTAAGTAAGCAATTTCATTTTCTTCTGTAATATAATCCTTAACAAGTAATAATAATTTGGCAATTCGTTTCAATTCACTTCTTAAAATTAGAATTACGAAACATTTGTAGCAGCAAGTCAAACATGTTATAGTTCCAGCTACATTCTCGAAAGCCGTACGTGAATCGTCTCCGAAAATAGAATAAAGAAGTAGACCAATTGCAAAATATAAGGAACAAAATACAAATAAAATTTGAATAGAATAATAAATGATTTTTTGCTGTTTATTAAATCCAGACGTTTGTGGATCAACTCCAACCAAAAATGATAATTTCCAAATCCATTTGACCGAATCAATATTTTCCATTTCCATTGTATTTGAAATATTTCTTAATACTAATTTTTAATTTTAATTTATATTACTATTTATATTATATTGTATATTATAATTTCGTGTTGCGGAATTTTTCGATTTAATTGTACATATGTACATACCTTGGTGTTATGTTGTATAAATTTTGGAATCGAAGCAGGTGTTAGTGCAATTACTTGAACCATATAATTATAATTTTATATTTGCAATTTCTAATATAAAGGAATTATTTTATAATATCATTATTAAAATTCTATCTTATACATTATGACATTAAAAATACACTCAGAAAAATTTGAAGATTTTAAACTGAAACTGTGTCAAATGTAAGAATTTAAGAGCAGAAACAAATACTCTCAGTATTTTAGTTAAAGTTATAGTTTCTGTAGGAATTTGTTCAGGGTTTTCACTATCGAATATACAGGTTCACGTTTATATTTGGATTTGCTTGTAAAGATTGCAGAGCAAATGTTCATTGGATAATGGATATAATAGAAAAGTGTCATCAAGCCTTAAGAAAAAATGATAATTTTCTACTATCAGTCAATTATTTACTCTTACGTTATCTACTTTAAATAAAATATTTTTTTTTCCTTGGGAATTAATATGATTTATAAATCTATTTTAATTTAAACACATAAATTCTTTCAATATTGTCCTGTTTTGCCCTGAGTGTATACAGGAATCCTTAAGTTAGGTGTAATAAATTATTTAATTATTCATTATCATAGGATTATAATAAATTCAATTGCGATTTTTTAAAAATAATATGTAAGAACAACAAAAATGGAACCATTTTTGTTGTTATTTCTTATAACAGAATGGGATATCAGAAATCGCAACAATTACCTTATGAGAACACAAGGTATTTCAATCGATTACAAAAATGGAAAGTACCATACATTCGTCCAAAAACTGTGACTCAACTAGGCAAAGATTAACAAATAAACAGAGAGGAGTAATCAAGGCAAGTTAACTCGATTTAAAATAAGAAAGAACCGACACAGATACAGACAACAATTTAGATATTATGGCCTAAAGAAGATTACCGACCGACATATAAAGGATACAGTATAAATTTCTAATGTTTGCGTTTACACCCAAATCTATATGTCTATTTCGTACAGCACAACGTACCCGGGTAAGCATGAATGCTCTTTAAGAAAATATATGAAAGTAGGAGCAGAATCCGGAAAAATGTTTAATTTCCCAAAAATGTATTTACCACGTTTTTAATAAGTGCTATGCTTTTAATTGCGTAAAAATAAGTAAGTCATAAGTCCTACATAGCAATACGGAATTTTAATTGAGTTTTTTGGTATGTTTCACAAATTTTTCTGGTAGAACGACGTATTGAGCATAAATAGCAATCACTTTTTTATGGAAATCTACCAGATCCATAACTGGTATTTCTATTTGTGATTTTTGTTTGTATTTTGGAGTACTTTCTATTGTACTTGTAGGGTTAAAATTTAGGACGGATCTTCTTCTTTTGCTGCACTGCTGGATGTTAGCGTGTATCAACGAATGCTGGCAATGACTGTAGAATATTGTTCACGGTTAGATGCTGGGTGGACAGGTTGACCAATAGATATTACGTTAGTCCAATTCCTGATATTTCGTAACCACGACATTTGTTTCCGCCTCACACCTCTTCTTCCTCTTATTCTGGCCTGAACAATTAATTGCAAAAGTTTGTATTTCCATCCACTTATAATATGTACAAAATAAGCAGCTTTGTGTTTTTTTAATTGACACAAACTTTAGTAGAGATAGACAGTAACAAATTCAGTAGCAGCCTCTTCAGGCTCAAGCTATATGAAGGTTCAAAATTTTTCATTTAAAGTAAAAAATAAACAGTTTGTTCGTTTAAGTGCTGCTTTCAACATTATTTTATTGTTAATTTAGTTATACAATATTATTATCATTCTTGCAATGTAGCTTTTAGAATATAATGATTTTCTTAAGCATTCTTTACACTTACTTATTGAAATTTGGAAGAAATTAATAACAAAATTTAATTATTGTAACTGATGTAATGTTAG